CCAATTATTACTTGAGAACTGTTCTCACAAACTCTACCCAGGCTGGCCTTGAATTGAGATCCTCCTGATCTCAGCCTCCCAAGTAGCTAGGATTACAGGCACGAGCCAACAGTGTCCAGCAGATTCTCTGGTTTTTAAGGGCTGGTGGAATGGCTCAGGTGGTAGCAAACTTGCCTAGCAAGTGTGAAGCCCAGAGTTCAACAACCCCCAGTAATATAACTAGTAGCTTTTAGGTATATTTTCGTTTACTCTATTTTTTTGGGGGTGGGGTTTGAACTCAGGACTTTAAGCATACCACAAGCACACACACTACCACTGAATTACAAGCTCAGCTGCCCCTCAGTGTTTTTTTTAATGTTTCTAGCCTGTACTATTTCATACACTCCTTAATGCTACAAAGGAGTAACACAGACAAAGGAATACCCAACACAAAAAAGGGCTGGCAGAGTAGTTCAAGTGGTAGAGCACCTGACTAGCAAGCATGAAGCCCTGAGTACAAACCCCAGTACTAAAAAAACAAACAAACAAAAACCCTAGTTAAAAAAAAAAAGAAGACTATAATCTGTTCGAAAAGCTATAAAATTGTCATAGCAGAAAATTTTAACTTAGTAACAAGTCCCTGGAAAATGATCAAATACATTCTACACAATGGAAAAGATCAGCCTAAACGTAAAGACACATTATTGTAAAAACCTATATATTCTTAAGGTAATCAAAGGTATGTTATTTCATAAGAGTGAAAATTTTCATGCTTAATTTACAATTACAACAGCAATTATCAAAAAGTTTCACTTTAACAAAGGAGAAAAAAAGGTATGAAATAAGAATGCCATATAAAATTGACTAGAGTGCTGACTTACATCCTTGAAAAAGAAATTTTGAGGGAGGTGGTACTGGGTTTTAAATCGGTGCCTTGTGCTTGCTACACAGGTTCCCAAACACTTGAGCCATGCCTCCAGCCCTTGCTTTAGTTACTTTTGAAATATGGTCTCATTTATGCCCAGGCAGGCCTAAACTGTGAGACTCCTATTTACACTTCCTAATACTCCTACTTCCTGCTTAGCTGGGGTAACAGATACATGCGACCATGCTCAGCTGGAGTCGAGAAATTTTGCCTGAGATGGCCTCAAACTGCAATCCTCCTGGATCTCCACATTCTGAGTAGTGAGGATTATAGGAGTGAATCACCATAACCTGGATCACTCCTGAAATTCAAAACATATTTCCATGAATGTCATAAAATTACCAGGTTCAAGGGTGACAAAGAAAAAATGTGACCAGATACAAGTGCTTTCCCATAGCCTGTTACATTTAAAAAAAAAAAATTATAAAGATTGAAAATGTAAAAAATCAATGTTTGATGCCTCATAGCCCAGCATTTTTATTTGTACTGGAAATGAGAAGTGGCATCTTAAACTAACCAAGAAAATATACTATGCTTTTAGCACCTGCTCAAGCTGAACTTACCATTTGATTCCTCCCTTTAAAATGAATAGTCAAAGAAAGCACATAAGATTCTAATCTCAAAGCTTAAAATATATATATATATATATAGAGAGAGACAGAGAGAGAGAGAGAGAGATTAAAATTATCTAGCAATTTTTTCCAAAAAGTTTTCTAAGAAAATGAAGAATAAGGCAACTGCCTCCATGTATTCCTGTTTAACAGTTTTCCCATTAACAAAAAATAGTTGAAATGTATAAAAAACTTCTATTAATGTTTATCTTAGTACTTGATTAGTTTACAGTAACAAGAAACATTATGAAGCAGGAAAATAAGTACAAGTCACAGAGAAAGGAGAGAAAACTTGTACCTGGTCATAAAATTTCTACTTTGCAAAAATATCAGGAAGTAGACTCTAAATATTTAATTCCATTCTTACATAAATTACCAAGCTCATTTATTACAATGTGAAATGTGCCTACTTTACAAAACATTAAGAATATAGTAAAGTAACTATGCAGCCTATCTAACATAAATACTAATTTAAGGGGGGAAAAAAATCAAATTATATCAGCCCAGGGTGCAACAGACTTTTTCTATAAAGGGCCAGAGAGCACTATTTTAAATTCATTATGAGTCAGAAATACTCTAATACCGGCTTCATTTTTTTTTGGAGACAGGGTCTTGCTAGATTGCCAAAACCGGCATCAATCTCCTGGATTATACTGATCCTCTTGCCTCGGCCTTATGAATGGCTAGAACTACAGGTGAGTGCCACCACAACCAGCTGTCCTTTTTGGCCAACAACCTTTACTTCAGTGGTGGGATAGTATGAAAACAGGCAGTGGTCCTAAAGCCATGACTTGCTGCTCTAGTCAAATTAATTGTTATTATATTGTGTAAAGTATGCAACACAAACTTTTGTTAACTTGAAAAGAAGGTATCCTTAACTTACTATGTAATCCTTTTCTAACGGTAATCAAATGATCTATTTTAGAACTATCAACGAGCTGGGCATATTTTTTAAATATCTAATTCATCTATTCTCAAACTTCATTGGTATTTCTAAACTTTTACTCACCATTAAAATAAAAATTTGCACTAATTCAATTTTAAAATGTACCAATGTCACCAAATACTTTCTTCATTGTTGTTTTCAGACAGGGTCTCACTATGTAGCTCAAACTGGCCTTGAACTCACTATTGTAGTTCAGTCCAGCCTTGAACTCTGAATCTTCCTGCCTTAGCCTCCCAAGTGCTGGGATTATAAGCATGTATTACCATGCCCAGATGCCAAATACTTAAGATACAAAAGTAAAATTAAAACCAGCTGTCCATTATTGATTGTATCTATATTAAATGGCAGAAAAAATAAGACTCATTTAATTTTTTAATTATTATTTCAAAGTAGAGTCTAGAAGTGAACTTAAAATATGGCCAACTTAAAATCAAGTTTAGCAATTGCTTTTTTTTTTTTTTTTTTTCTTGTAGTACTAGAGTTTGAATTCAGGGCTTCTCACTAACTAGGCAGGTGCTTTACTGCTTGAGCCAGCCCATTTTGCCCTGGTTATTTTGAAGACAGGGATCTCACTTTTTGCCTACTCCAGCCTGAACCACTATTCCTATTTCATGCTTCCTACCATAGCTAGGATGATAGGTGGGAATCATAATGCCCTGCTTCCTTCCACTGAGATGGGGTCTTGCATACTTTTTGCCCAGGCTGGCCTGGAACCGCAATCTATCTGACCTCAGGTTCCCTGGTAGCTAGGATTAGGTGCGAGCCATTGGCATCTAGTCCACTACAGTGATTATTTAAGCATGTGCATTACAAGTATCTACACACACTCCAAAACATCCGGAACTCAACGTCAGAAAAAAATACTAAAAAAAGTCAATTTCATTAATTTTACTGTAAGCAAGCCCTTTAGTAAATACTCAGGTAAATGAAAGGAGTAGGTACAATTTCCTAAACCTCAAGAGAAGGTTCCTCAAGAAATGTAACCATATTATCACTTATGGTTTACATGTGATTACTATCTGAAGATAAAATCACTACTAGTTCTTATTTTTTAAGTATGGGCTTGGTAAAACTTTAAAATTATTTTCTTTTCTAATATATAATATCTTCACATTGATAAATTACGAGATTTACATTCAAATATAACAACCAAAAAACTGAAGATGACAGTTTAAAATATCATTAAGGTGTTGAGTATGCAAAGAGAAAGAGTATTACAAAATAATTCTAGAAATTAATCAGTAAAAATTCAAAAGGTTTAAAAAAATTACCCAACTAATTGGTGATAGAATTTAAAAATCAAATTAAATCTTTAGTAAACTAGACACAAAAATAATGAAAGCTTTTCAAGCAGAATTTAAATGCCACAGAATTTTCACTCAAAGAATATTTACTTGATGGTAACATAAATATCTGTTACAATTCAGGATTTATTTTGCCAAGTACTTATCCTTTCCATTAAAGTTTTAAACTGTGATAGGGACAAAAGAACGAAGACAGAGAAAAAGGCACCAGTGACTTGAACTAATATTTTGTATCTCAAACTTATGAAAGAAATTTAAGTTCTTACTAAACTTCATGACTTTTGACATCAGAGAAAAAAATAATGCTAAATGTTTTTCTGAATAATGAGTTAAGCTGGCATTCTTTCACGGTGAACAATGTTATTTATCACTAAGAACTATGTTGACGTTTTCTTGTTTATTCCACCATCCTGCCATCTAAGAACAAAAACCTGGATCAGGTGAAGTCTTCTGAACTAATGCTAGTTCACAGGAAATTCAGGGAAAAAAAGAGTATGTTAAACATAACAGCAAGGATGCAAACAACAAAACCATGGATATGAGATATATACAATAATGCCATCTCCTTGGGAAACATTAAAAAGTATAGAAAACCTACAAATTAAAACAGTTTTGACATATCAAACAATCCCAAAGCCAACTATAAAAATCCCTAAGACCTATGCAAATGTGAGCTTAAGTTAGTATTAACATACTGACAATTCTTAAGAAATGATAATGACTCAAGAGAGTCCTCATCTTTTACTTACATATTGAAAATACTTAAGAACAGTATTACTGTATGAGGTCAGGTATTTCATACAAAATAGTATGGGAAAGAAAACAGGTATATGAAAAATTACAAAGATCAGCAATGTGTTCAGAGCTGTTATGGATGGATGATGAGCATACTAGTATCCTTTGGAGTATGTCTAAAATCTTCCAAAATAAAGACTTACTAATTAAAGGTATATGGTAATCAGGCAAGTAGAGATGATTCATACATCAAGATTTTTAACTTAGTAGCATATATGTTTAAAAGATCAGTTAAATAGAAAAACTGTAGCAACCATTTCATAAAAAAGAAACAACTTTACTACTTCTAAGAGGTTAAGCAAATCAATAGAATAGTAAGCATGACACATTCAGAAACACTAGAAGATATCCTATTACATAAATCAAAATCTTAAGAACTCCAAATACACATCATCTACCTGACAGTATAAAATAATTTAGTTCAGGAATATTTTACTTACATTTTCCATATAGTTAGGTTTAAAGCCCTCCTGCTGTCGCCTCAGTTCCTCCTGTTCTCTGTGTCGGATCATTTCTTCCTCACGTCGACGATGCTCTTCTTCATGTCTGAAATGTTTTAAATAAAATTTCATCATTATGACACATAAACCACTGGATACTTTATTTCATGTAAAACATTAGGCAAAATCTGTGACTAAGGACTAACTATGGTTTCCTAGATTTATCCTTCTTATTCCTTTGGGTTCCAAGCCTCCAGCAAACAAAATAAACTTTAAAAAAAGTGACATAACTAGGGTAAACCAAAAGGCAAAGTCACAACATGTAAGTGTGCTTACGGGTGAATGACTCAAGAGGTGTAGTGAGAATTTAAATCTTAGTACAGCAGAAAGAAAAAAGGAAAGAAAAGAAAAAGAAATCCAGACTGGTGTGTTGGAGCATACCTGTAATCCCAGCACACAAAAGGGCAGAGGCAGGAAGACTGAAATTTCAAAGCAGCCTGATTTACATAGCAAGATGCTGTCTCAGAAAACCAAGGACTAGGGATATTATCAGTGGTACAGCATTTGCCTAACATGCCAATATAGTTCAGTCCCCAACAGTGGGGAAAACAAAAAAGAAAGAAAGAATCCAGAAAAACTCCACCATATGCCCTCTTTTCCCCATAAAAAGGAAAAAGTTTGGGGTTGGAACTTGGGGCTTCACACTTGAAAAGTAGGTGCTCTAATGCCTGAGCCACACTTCCAGTCCATTATGCTCTAGTTACTTCAGAGATGGGGTCTCTCAAGGTATATCCTGAGCTGGCCCCAAACATCTCTCCTCTCCATCTTGGCCTCCTAGTAGCTAGGATTATAGATGTGAGCCACCACTCAGCTGAGGGATCTGTTTGAAAAACTCAAAGCAAACCCAGAGAGCGAGACTACACATAGCAAGTTCAAAGAAAATACTTTCACATTTACATACTGCAGAAAATGTACACAGATACAAGTAAAATTTCCCTTATTAAAGTTCTGTAAGGTATGGAGAAAAAGTCAGTTATTCTGATTTTAAAAAAGGTGAATATAACAGTATTACTTATATTTCCCAGTGAAATCTGGGCCAGCACCCTATAATTAACCACATCTCTGAAAAAAAAAATGCTCTAAAAAAAGATCTTACTTGATTGAAGGTCCCTAGGCATGAAACTATGACACCTACTGGATAAAGCTACCATTCTGTTCTTATTTAGCACAATGTCCTGATATCTATCTATCACAGGACCCAGTATATCATAAGGGCTTTATAATAATATACTGAATGACTTAAGGAAATGAATGGGTGGATAAGTAGGTAGATTAGTAGGGGGTTGGGAGAGAAGGAATGAGCAAAACGAACTACAAAGCTGTCATGTCAGAGGTAGAACCAGTTCACTGAGTCCCTTGCCTGGGTCTTCCTTCTATACCACTACAGTGACCCAAGAAAAACAGTTACTTATAGCATTGAAAGAAATACAAGAAGATTGTGTATTACAAATAAATGCCTTAATTTCTCTCAAAATAAACTTTCCTAAGCTAATTTTTCCTCTCTTCCAACTCAGGTAAAATGAAAACATGACTTCAGATTATCTGGTTTAACAATTAAACTATCTTACATAGGAGCAGATTCTGAGCGATAAATCTCTTCAATTTAATTGCTACAATTTTGCTCATGTTTTGTCTCAAATATATGGGATATATTTGACCATTATAAAATAAATTTCTAGACAAGAACTGGTACAGGCTGCAAAACTACTACATTTTAAGATACATCTCCTAAATCAATGTTCTTTTTTTTTTTTGTGCTACTGGAGTTTGAACTTACGCTTGTTAGGCAGGCTACCACTTCAGCCCTGAAATCAAGATTCTTAATTTCAAGACATTCACCAGTCACCAGGTAAGAGTAAGATAATTAAGAATTCTGGGATTTGTTAGAAACTTAGCCAAACATAAAAATCACCAAATTATCATGTTATCACTGAGATAGTTTTACTATTGTTATTCAATTATCTGATTTATTTTTTTGAGACAGAGTATCACTACAGCTCAGAGTAGGAACACATGATCTTCCTGCCTTAGCCTCCCAAGTGCTGGGTTTACAGATGTGCACCAAATGTCCAGATTCAGTTACCTCAATTTTAAATGGAATCTAATGCCCCTGATGTAAGATTGAATAACAAAATTTAAAAATCATGCATTAAAAATGTGCCATGTAGCCTGGTGCAGTAGGTCATGTCTGTAATTAAAGGTACTTAGGAGAAGGTAGGAGGATCAAAGTTACTACTGTAAGTATTTCCTTAATCAGTGACTTTCTATCTCATTTCTTTTGTCACAGTGAGTTCTTTAGTATTGGCTCCTGACTTCTTCTGACATGATGTAGCCTTTTTTTTTTTTTTTTTTTGGCAGTACTTGGGTTTTGAACTCAGGGATTTGTACTTGTTAGGCAAGCACTCTACCACTAACATTGGAACCATGTCCCCATCCCTTTTGTGCTTTAGTTACTTTTCAGATAGAATCTCATGGTTTTTACCCAGGACCACAATGCCTCCCACATAGCTGGGATTACAGGCATGCTTACCACACCTGCCCCTTAAAATTTTCTCCTTACTTTTTTTCTTTGGGGGGGGAGGTGTTAGGAGGTGGAGAATAGTAAGGTTTGAACTCAGGGTCCCCTAGCAAGTGCGGTTATCACTTCAACCTTACCTCCAGCCTCCTTTTTGAGTACTTCCTCTATATTCTAGCATAAAATATTCTAGTCTCAGCTGGATGCTGGAGGCTCACGCCTATAATCTTAGCTACTTGGCAGGCAGAGATCAGGAGGATCTTAGTTTGAAGCCAACCCTGACAAATACTTTGTGTGAGACCCTATCTCGAAAATACTGAATACAAAATGGGCTGGCGGAATGGCTCGACATGTAGGCCCCAAGTTCAAGCCAGAATAACACACACACACACACACACACACACACACACACACACACAGACTTTCAGTCCAAAAGCCCCACTTCCTTTTATTAGAGAACGGTGAGTAGAAACAAAGATGTGCTCAGTATTACTGAGTTATCACTGCCTGCAGGGACTCTTGGTGGTAGACAATTATGAAATACATGTACATATATTACTCACACATAAACATACACCTGTATTTCTGCATCTATTTGTCAATATTAAAAACCACTGATTTCACAACTGATTCTAATCCAATCCAAGATTCACTTTTCATTTTAGCCTTTCTTCTTTCTCCAACAAGGATATGCATCTACATTTATAAATTCCTTCATTTCAAAAAGTATATATACTTTTGAGTATATATATACTTTTTGAGTAGCTGGCGGCTCACTCTTGTAATCCTAGCTTCTTGGGAGGCTGAGTTCAGGAGGACTGCGGTTCAAGGCCATCCTGGGAGAACCCCATCTCCAAAATAATCAGAGCAAAATGGGTTGGAGGCATGGCTTAAGCGGTAGGTACACCTTCTTTGCAAGTGTGAAGCCCTGAGTCCAAACCCCAGTCACACCCAAAAAACAAAACAAAGTACATACAATGCCAGGAATACTGGCATATGCCTGAAGCAGAAGGAGTCCAAGTTCAAGGGCCGACTGGGCTACCAAAGAGGCACTGTAGCAAAAACAAACAAAAAAACCCCATACAAAAATAATTTTGCAACTGCTGAGTCATACCCCTAACCAATTAGAGAATGTATATATGACTCTTGGGGTCACCAGTCAAAATTATTTAGCTTCCTTATTTTCTCCCCCATCACCTGCCAGTATAATTGTGTTTACTTGTTTGTAACAGGTTCGTTTCTCTTTTAGTATCCAATTTTGGGTCTTTTCCTCCACACTGTGCTTTTTGTAGGGCTTTTTTGTTTTGTTTTTTTGGTGGTACTAGGGAGTTAAACCCAGGGCCTTGAACTTGCTCCAAGTGCTCTACCACCTGAGTCACGCTCCCAGCCCTTAATGCTTTTTTTTTTTGAGGGGGGAGGGGACAATGTCATTTGAACTCAGGACCTCATGCTTGCCAGGCAGGCAGTCTACCACTTGAGCCATTTTTGATATAGGGTCTCACCTTCTGCCCAGGCTAGCCTGAACCTTGATCCTCACAAGTAGCTGGGATGACAGGAACACAAAACCATGTCCAGGTACTGATAAGAGATGGGGGGTTTGCCCACTTTTTTGCCTGGGCTGGCCTCAAACTTCAGTCCTCCCAGTTTCACCTCCCAAGTAGCTCAGATTTAATATTTGCATATTTGGGGAGGGGGTAGTTTCTATTACAAAAGCCCAGCTATAAAGTTAAGGTTCAAGGAAAGAAAGCTGGATTGAGTTAAAAGTTTATGTTAGGGAAGGGGACGTTTCCTTTTCTTTGTAAAAGCAGAAGAGGTTTGATTGAACATGTTTACCTAAAAAAGAAGCCAGCCAAAAGAAAGAATTTGAAAACGCCCCTGAAGTAAGATAATCACCTCACAGCTATGGTGATCTCAGGTGCATCAGAACCAAAACAGTTCCTCTCAAACTTTTGGGTGCAGCACCTATAGGATTCCAGGTACACCACTAAAATTTCTAATTCGGTAGTTCTAGAGAGAAGTTTCATTTCTAGCAATTCCCATGCCTATCCAAGGACAATAATTTGAGAATGATTTCAATACAGTAAAATAAGACTAATTCCAAAATATAAAAATATACACACTGATATAATCAGGTACAAAGCTGAAAAAAAAAATCAAATATACGGAGTATCAGCTGGGTATGTTGATACACAGCTGTATTCCCAGTACTTGGAAGGCTGAGGTAGCACTGGGAGTTTGAGGCCAGCCTGGGCTAGAAAGAGAGACCATTTCACAAAAACAAACATGAATACCACATATCTGCAGACAGTGGGAAAGCTATGAATTTATTCATAGTTTTTACCTTTATTTTTACTGTCAATAAGCACCTTTCAACAACATTTTTGCTTTTATTATTTTTTATGTAGCCTAGACTGGCTCAAACTTGTTATATAGTAACAAGTAGCCTCAAACTTGCAATTCCTCTGCCTCAGTTTCTGGAGTGCTGGGATTACAGGCACTTACCACCTAGTCTGCCTTAAGCATCTTCTTCCCACAAAGACTTACTACTTTTATAGTTAGTTCTTCTAAAACAAAAATTTCTAAGTTTGCTTCATCTACCATATCTCTGCTCATAACATTTCCTTATTAAAGCTTTTGAAAATTTAAATAATATTTATTCCATTATGTGTCATAAAAAATACTGTGAGTAAAAATTTGCATTTATATATCTTGGATCTACTAAGCTCCCAAACATCAATAAGTTGAGTATCATGGTGGTATATTATAAACTGTGAATTACAATATCCATCAACTGCAAGACCCTAGGTTTGATCCCTAGCACCACCAAAATGAAAAATGAAAAAAAAGAAAATTGCCTATACCCTCTTAACCAAGAGTTCAGAAATCGTTTTTAAACAATTTAAGCAGAAGTATAAAGATATATAAAGCCATTCACAGTAAAGATATACATATGAGAAAAACAAGAACTAAGCAATTCAAGTATATCCTTCTGTAGAAAAATTGTCTGATAAATCTTTGAGCATTCTTGTAACAAATTACATCAAAATGGAACAATTTTTTTTCTTCCTATTCCTACTTAATTATAATCAGTGGTAGGGAATTTTACTAATGACACAATGAAAACCACATAAGTATGTGTTATTCATATTTATGACACAATGATGTAATTTTACCTCAGTTGTATTTGTTTCCGTTTTTGTAATTCTTGGTTTCTCAGTTCTTCCAAGCGTCTGAGTTCTTCTTGTCGTCTCATTAGATCTACAAAATATTGACTATACATTAATATTTTTACCTTTCCTTTCTTTGGTTGCATATCAAAAAGTATAAAGTCAAAAAAAAACCTGGATACTGATATAAACAAGTCCATTTTCTTTGGGGGGAGGGGAGAATAAAGGAAAATGATGGAGGGGATAAATTCACCTATGATATATTTTAAGAACTTTTGTAAATGTCACAATGTACTCACTCTGAGTACAATAATATGATAATAAAAATAAGACTATTTTTCTTTTCTTTCCACCCTTTGTTCTTTTTTGAGATAAGAGTATTACACTGTATCCCAGGCTATAAACACCATCACCAATCCCTGCCATATCAAGAACAGGGATTCCATGCAAGTCAGTTTACAATAAAGGCAACTGCACACCCATATTTACTGTAGCATTATTCAAATAGCTAAGCTATGGAAACAGTCAAGATGCTCCACTACTGATGAATGGAACAAGAAAATGTGGTATTTATATACAATGGAATTTTATTCAGCCACAAAGAATGAAATTTTGTCGTTTGCAGGTAAATGGATAGAACTAGAGAACATCTAGTTAAGTGAAGTTAGTCAGATTCAGAAGGCCAAAAGCTGCATGTTTTGTCTCATAAGTGGAATATAGACCTAATACAAATACAGCAGTATTATGAAAAACAGGTCACACTAAGGGGGAGGGTAGAAGGAAGATAAAAGAAGTGAGTATGGTTGATATACAAGAATGAATATAGAATTTTTAAGCCTGTTAAAACCATCATAAGAAGGGGACTAAGGTAGAAAGAAGAAATATAGAGGAGATGAACCAATTCGGGTTGTAATACAAATATACATGGAAATATCACAAGAAAACTCCCTGTGCAGCTATCTTAAACAAACAAAAATGTCATTTTTGTTTTCTTTTACAAAACTGGAGAACAGGAGGGCAGCACAGGTTCTGCCTGGGGTGGGGTACCAGCAGGAGAGGGAGGAGGTGAGGAAAGGGTGTGGGAGGATGAATATATTGCAAATACTGTGTACACATGTATATAAATAGAAAAATGAGACCTGCTGAAACTGTTCCAGGAATCTTCCAGGGGCAGGGGAGGATAAGACAACGGACTCTACCCACTCGAGACACAACTCTAGCACCATGGATTGTTTTGCAAGGTACCTACCACACATAATCATAAACATGCAAATATGCACATTTTCTTCCATGAAAAGGAGTAAGAAAACTATTTCTTTTCTTTCAACAACTGAATCATACATTAAGGTGGACCATCGGAAAAAGATGCTTTGCTACTAAGCTGTACCTCAGTGGTAGAGCTCTTGCTAGCACATGCATGCCACAGGTTCAACCCCTAGTTATGTTCATATATGTGAATGAGTTAGTGAATGAGAGAGAGAGGACGGAAGGGAGGGAAGAAACTTGAATGGAGAAAGTTACTTTAATCTCTCCATTCATATTTCCTTACCTGTAATACTGTTAAAATTAGGTCAAAGGCTCAAAACTTGAGCCATCAGACAGCCAGTTACCCAATACTTACTTACAAGGAAAACATGAGCTTCAAACTGCTATTCTGGGCTGGTGGAGTGGACTCAAGTATAGAGCACCTGCCTAGCATGTGTGAGATCCTGAGTTCAAACCCCCATACCAAAAAACCCTGCTTTTTTACACTTACTAATTTGAGGTTTTTTGTTTTGTTTTTGCAGTACTGAGGCTTGAACTCAGGGCATACACCTTGAGTCACTTCACCAGCCCTTTTTTGTGTTAGGTATTTTCAAGATAGGGTCTTGCGAAGTATTTGCCTGGGTTGGCTTCAAACCGTGATACTCCTGATCTCTGCCTCCTGAGTAGGCAGGATTACAGACGTGAGCCACTGGTACCCTTGGCTAATTTGAAGTTTTGTTTCCTAGTTTGTTACCCACAATCAACAATAGTTCATAACTTTTAAAGAACTTTTATTACAATGTATTACTTGTTCTATCTTATTACTATTGTTGTTACTCATTTACAGTGCCTGATTCATAAACTTTATCACAGGTGTATATGCATTAGGAAAACACATAAAGTGCTGGGCACCAATGGCTCACCCCATTAACCCTAGCTACTCAGGAGGCAGAAATCAGGAGGACCACATTACAAAGCCAGCCCAGGCAAATGGACTGGTGGAGTGGCTCAAGTGGTACAGTACCTGCCTGGCAAGCATGAAGCCCTGAGTTCAAACCCCAATACTGCCAAAAATAAAACAAAAAAAAGGAAAAAAGAAATGAAATCAGGGCCACATGCCAGTGGCTCACACTTATAATCCTAGTTACCTAAATATCAGGAGGATGGAGGTTCAAGGCCACCCTGGGAAAACAGTTTATGAGACCATATCTCAAAAACACCCAATATAAAAAAGGGCTAATGGAATGGTTCAAGAGGTAGAGCACCTGCCTAGCAAGCATGAGGCTGAGTTCAAACCCCAATACCAAAAGAAAAAAGAAACAAAATCCATGAAATTAGACAGAACAAAAATTTACAAGACTGAAAGAGGAAGTGTAATTTCTCTCCTGTAGTGAAAATTGAAGGTGTATCGCTAATAATTTGACTTTCTGGAAACACAAGTTTTCAAACTACAGATTAAAGAGGTTGTCTGCTCTCAATGAAAATTTGAAGTATTATGATCCGCAAGATCTATTTTTGACTACAAAGATGGACAGATGTAATAAATCAAATTTGATACAAATTCACACTTAATTCAGACACCACTGCAGAAACACAAATGCAAGAAGACAATGAAACTATTATTTAAGAAAGGAAGGGGAGTCAGGTTTGGTGGCTCATGCCTATAATCCTAGCAAAGAAGTTTAAAGTACAAGGAACACAAAGAGTACTGCTTCCATGCCATTCTTTAAAAAAATCAATAAACATTTATCAAATGATAAAGTCATGCCCTGAGCCTACTTAAAAATGAATCACAATTTCTACATTTATGGCCAGGGACTGGTGGCTCATGTCTGTAATCCTAGATACTCAGGAGGCAGAAATCAAAATAGTCAAGGTTTGAAACCAGCCCACAAAAAAAGGGCTGGCAGAGTGGCTCAAGTGGTAGAGTGCTTGCCTAACAAGCATGAGGCCCTGAGTTCAAACCCCAGTACTGCAAAAAAAAAAAAAAAATTTCTATATATAAGGCCTATGAAAAACATTAAATGAATGACATAAATTCAGACTAATCAGAAAAAAATAAACTGTCAAGAAGTAAGGGGTGTGATTCATGTTAAGAGTGCTGGCATAGTAATCATAAGGCCTGGTGTTTGATCCCTAAGCAGGCACACACACACACACACACTCTCTCTCACTCTCTCACTCTCTCTCTCCTCATATACACCCCAAAAAAAGAAAGCCAAAAAAATAGAAGAAAAAGGTTAAGTCAAATGTGGCAACATCCCTTCTGTTTTTTCCTTTGGTAGTCATGATTATCACTGAAGGGAAATAAATACACTCCTATTACTTGACTTATGTACAAAGGAATAGCAAACAAAAACAAGGTAATCTAGAAAACTCCAGTAGTAGAAGGGCAGAAAGTAATAGGAAGATACAAGGAAAACAGTTAAAGCTATGTGCTGAGAACTGTATAAATTGCAGTAAGGTTACCACAAATAACCATAAAGAAAATCCAAGAATTGCCTCCTGTATTAATGATCAAAAACAGATGGGAACCAGGTACAATCTGTAGCCCTAACTACTAGAGAGGCTGAGGCAAAAGAATTTGTAAATTCAGGAATTTGAGCCCAGAAATTCCTGGGCAATACTATAAGACTTCATCTCTTTAAAAAAAAAAAAAGAGAGAGAGAGAGAAAGAAAAAAAGAAATCCTGTAGCTTATCCTAATAAAAACAAGAATTTACCAAAGAATTTAAATTTTCATCTCTTAAGGAATCATTGGCTATTATATTCAGAACAGTTTTGAGAAGGCCAAGATTACATGGCAGAAAGTACAGTAAAGCTGCAGAAACCCAGGCAGGGATCTGTGGTACATAGATCGCTGGAGACAGCTAAGAGAAGACAGATAGACATTTACCAAATAACTAAATGCTAAATTAAAACAACAGGCAGGTAGAGTAACTCAAGACTATAATTGTAGTTATCAGAGAGATGGAGATCAGGAGAATCTGTTTGGGGCCAGCCAAGGTAAAAGGTTCCCAAGATACTCCCTGTCTCCTCCCCAGCAATCTCAGCCATAGGAATGAGAGTCAGGCTGGCCCAAGCAAAAAGCAAGACCCTATCTCAAAAATAACCAAACCAAAAAAGCTCTCGCGGCTTGGCTCACATGGTAAAGTGCCAACCTGGCAAGCACAAAGCATAAGAGTTCAAACTGAAGTACCACCATAAATAAATACATCTCAGCAGCTCACCTCTCCCCTTTTCCTTATTCTAGCTTTCCTTTTATATTGTTTCACAACTATATACATAATATTTGTTTGTTTTTGCAGTACTGGGGTTTGAACTCAGTGCCTCATGCTTCCTAGGCAGGTACTCTACCACTTGAGCCACACCTGCAGCCTTGTTTTCTGAAAATAAGCATCCAATAACTGCTTTCTACTTTATTTTTGGTTATTGTTATTATCTGAGACAGGGTCTTGCCATATAGCAGAGGCTGACCTCAAACTCTAATGTCTCTGCCTCAGGCTCCCCCCAGTGTGTTTTTGTTTTTAATTTAAGCAGCTACCACACTGTTAGGTACAAGATAAATTATTACCTGTTTAAAGCCAGGCACAGTGGCACATGCCTAAAATCCCATCTAAGTCAGCCCAGGCAAAAGTTAGGGAGACTATCTCAAAACCAAAATGGGCATGGTGGTGCACACCTGTGCATCCAGCTGCTCAGGAAGACAGAAGCAGAGGATTATGGTCTGAGGCCAGCCTCGGAAAAAAGCACAACAACCTGAATGAAAACAAACTAGAAGTAAAAAGACTAAGGATTGGGACCAAGTGGTAGAGCAATTGTCTAGGAAGTATGACATCCTGAGTTCAATAGCCAGTACTGCAAAAATGTTAAAAAGATTGCTCTTAAGTAATTCAGTTAGCACTGTGTCAAGTATTTAAAACTGTTCCTGTCCATTACTCTCTGTGAATTCCCATACCCATCTACACACATGATGTTTTTCTTTTTTTGCCAGATTATTCACCTGGTATCATTTTTTTTTTCTCTTGTGGTACTGTGGATTGAACCCAGAGCCTTAGGCATGCCAGGTAAGCACTCTATAATGAGCTACATCTGCAGCCCCACCTGGAACCTTTTGCTGTATAATGATAAATCTTTAATATCGCTTCTCAGCCTTTTGGCTAAGATCAAGTGTACAACCTGTTCTTATCAGTTTAACAAATCTTTAATAGCCACTACTTGTCTTAATTGTTCTTTCTGCCAAATAAAATCTTGACATGTGACTTTATTCCCTATCTACCTCCCAAGAATTGCCCATTGTGTTTCTCCTTTTGCCAGTGAATCACTTATTTGCTACCAACAAAATTTAACACCCGTGAATGACCATCCCACTGTAAGACTCCTGTAAGTAAAATTAGTTTTACAGGAAAGCCTAAAACCTGGAACTCTGAAATCTGAAACACTTTTGGTCCCAAGCATTTTAGATGAAGAACACTCAATCTGTATTAAGTTCCTATTATTATTTTTTTTTAACTAAAGAAGCTCTCTAAGAAAGGTTTTTATTGTTAATATATTTAGTTCCAACATCTCTAAACTCCTAACTAGCAATCTAAACAGTAATACATATCAGTAGGCCTAACAAATGAACCCCAGTGAAAACAACAAAAACATCCCACATCTATATAAAAGTAATTTTTACCTTGCCTCATTAGCATTAACTGATGTTCATGCCTAGCTGCTTCCATTTCTGCCTCCAGTTTTTCTTTGGCTTCTCTGATGTTTCTATCCACCTGCTCACGCTGCTGCTTTTCCATTTCATCCAGAGCTTTCCATCGAGATGCATACTCAAATTCAAATGTCCCAGGTTGAGCAAAACGTGGTGGCTGTTCTCTTTCCCTAAATTTACAGTAAAAACATACAGACATGTATGCTTAAGAAGTAAACAACAACAGAGAAAATAATAATTACCATTTATTGAGCAGGATCTTAGGCAGGTACTCTATACTACTATTTCATGGCAATACGATGAGATATATGCTACTTGTATGAGTTTGAAAAACTGCTCAAAGGCACCCAACTAGTAAGTAATGAAACCATTTTGTAGATTCAAACCTACAAAATCTAATGCTATCCTTATTACTACCACAGATAAAGTCTTTCCCGATTTCTCTCAACTACATTACTTAAAGTGTTTACAACACTGGAGTGAAATGTGTCCTAAGCTGTCTTGAAATCAGATTTAGTAAAAAAAAAAAAAAAAAAAAAAACAGCTATAGTAACAATGTAACAGGTATATTGGCTGGACCAAAAAATAAAGGTCTATCTTACTACAATGCTCATTAAATATTGTTTAACACTTTGTTTCCCTTACTAATTATAAACACAATGAAGACATCAAATAAGTATGTTAACTGTTGTACCTCAAGTACCCAGAATAGTATCTGACACACCTTCTATATTCAATATGTATGTTCTGGATGAAAGAACAAATGATGAGTTGGATGTGGTGGCAGACACCCACAATCCTAATACTCAGAATGGAGCTGTGTTTCAAGCTATAGAGTACCTGCTTCACAAGTGTGAAGTCCTGAGTTCAAACTCCAGTACCGTCAAAAAAAAAATACTTTTTTAACTTTAAATAATACAAATTCAAGAGCTAGTCAGGCACCAGTGGGTCATACCTATAATCCTAGCTACTTGGGAGGCTGAGATTGGAAGGATGGAGGTTCAAGGCCAGACCAGGCAAATAGTTCACAAGACCCCATTTCTGAAATAACCAGAGCGAAATGTACCAGAGGTGTGGTTCAAGCAGTAGAGCACATGCTTTCAAGCATGAAGCCCTGAGTTCAAAAACCAGTACCATAAATAAATAAACAAAACTAGTACTTAATGTATCTAGCCCAAGCTGATAATATCAGAACACTACAATACTAGAATGCTCAAGTACAACAGGTGACTAGACAAAGGGAGCATTTCGTGTGTGTGTGTGTGTGTGTGTGTGTGTGTGTGTGAGTGGGGTTTGAACTCAGGGCTTCACACTTGCAAAGCAGGCGCTCTACCACTTAAGTCACACCTACAATCCATTTTGGAGATGGAGTTCCCCCAAACTATTTGCCCTAGCTGGCCTCAAAACAAGATCCTCCCAATCTCAGTCTCCTAAATAGCTAGGATTACAGGTGCAAGTCACCATGCCCAGCAGATTCAGATGTTTTTAAAGTCTAATTAGCCAGGTGTGGTCGTGCATGCCTACAATCCCAGCACTCAGGAGGCTAAGGCAGGAGGATCATGAACTTGAGGCCAGCATGAGCTAGAGTTAGACCCTGTCTCAGAAAAAGTTCTAACTAGGAGGGGGAAGATGTTAGAGGATCAACCAACTACCAACTTTTCTAAAAGAATTGTTCCTAACTCAGAGATTAACTACTAAACTTTTCCATTTTCTCCCAGGGAAAACACTACTGATGCAATGAGTTTTTTGGTTTTTTTTTTTACAAGAATTTTCATAGCAATTTTATTATAGTCCCAAACTGGAAAAAATCCTAATGTACATTAGCAGGAGAAATGACAAACAAAATTGTTGTTTACTCATACAATGAAACACATTTCACAGGAAAAGGAAATAAACTACTGATGAATCCTGAAAACATATGGTGAGCAAAAGAAGCCAACTCCACCCTGATAGTTCCATTTACATGGAATTGAAGAATAGGCGTAACACCGTGAGCGGAATCAGAATTGTGGCTGTCTTGGGGAGCAGGTTTGGCTACAACAAGGCACAAAGGAACTTACTAGAGTTTGGGGATTATTTCCTTTTTTATATTTCCAAACTCAGCATTTAGAATTTGTGTATCTTTTTTTTTTAATTGTTGTAAATAACTTTTTGTTGTTGTTTGATTTATTCACATGTGCATACATTGTTTGGGTCATTTCTCCACCCTGCCCCTCTCCCCCAGCAATATGAGTTTTTGACTCTTGGCTCTTATGCTTTGTAAGTGTTTCTTTTTCAGTATAAGTATTTTATTTATTTACCTTTGAGACAAGGTCTTTGCTACTATGTGGTTCGACTCAATCTCAATCCACCTGCCTCAGTCTACCAAATGCTAGGATTACAGGCATGCCCCATCACACCTGACTACTCTCAGTGTAACTCCTTAGTAATAAAGTTAAGACTATAATTAGGCCTAAGATTTGCTGGAATAATTGAATCATATAATCAACATTTTTTTTTAATTTTACAGTTAATTCCACTTCTGTAATTCCTGAATCCCAAAATGTGCTTATTTCAAATTTATAATGTTAAGATATGAGAAAAAAAGTAAAGAAAAATCATGTTTTTGAAAAACAGCACTGTAAGAGAAATCAAAATTGTTATGAATTACAACCAATTATTACTGATCCTTCTTCCCTAAAAAACTCTTCTCCTCCTAAGACTAAATCTGCTAGTTGTCCCCTGATTCCAATGACTGCTTCCCTTTCTCAAATCTTTTCTGATTCATTCTGATCTTCCCATACCCCATAACTTCCCATATTCCAGGGCTTAAAGTTCAGTCCTTTAACTTGGCTTTCTATCACATGTTGGCAGCTCCAACCAGAACAGCTCCTCTAAATTCCAGTTGTATCCAACTATCTGTTTGACAGCACTGCCAGCACCTAGAATAATGCATAGCCCAAAGGCACTCAAGTGACTAATACAAAAACAAAATGTATTCACAGACAGGCAATTTATGCAAAGGTATTTATATCACAGTAAATGAAAAAGGCAATTAGTAAAAAAGTATAAAACATTCTGAAAACAAGCTGTTTTTTAAATGTCTGAGAAGAGTTCTCCTGTGCCCCCCCACTACCCTAAACAAGTGTCCTTTTAACTTACAATACTCCTGAAGCATACTAACACATAAGTACTGTCACATTATCTAGATTTCACCTGTTTTTCTGGCATAAATATTACTGACAGTCTCCTCCTAATCCACCAAGGTAGTAATATCACAGATATGAAAGTAGAGACTTTTCTAAACAAAATTAATGTTTAACCTATAAAAAAATTAGCATTCCATGTACACCAGGCCACACTATTAACCAGATTATATGACTAAACAGAGCACCTTATAATGGAACAATACTTGATAACATAAACACCCTAGATAGCATATATACCTAAAATATCTTTATGTCTTACTTATGATATTGTTGTGTTTTCTGCATGAGCTTCTCTGGCAAACCATCTTCATCATCAAACTGCTCCATGGGTTCCACAATGACTGGACGGGGGGTCCTACGTAGGTATAAACGCATTAATAAGAGTTAATGAAAGTGCCAAGAATTAATACCTCCTTGAAAATCCTTGTAATAAAGATACATACTTTGAAAATGTCTCAGTTGAGAAAAACATCTCAAAAGTACCATATGTATTCATAAAAGTCTATAAACACTTGTTGATCCAGACATAGGTGAAATAAAAAGATGCATACATAAATCATTAATTACAAACAAGCATAACCACTGCAGTTGAATTTTATATAATATGACTTAAAAATGTGTACATAGGCTAATGAAGTGGCTCAGAGTGCCTGTCTAGCAAACATGAGGCCCTGAATTCAAACCCCAGTATCTCAAAAAGAAAAAGAAAAAAAAAACCCTCAAGTCAGGTGCCAGTGGCTCACACCTGTAATTCTAGTTCCTCAGAAGGCAGAGATCAAGAGGATTAAGGTTCAAAGCCAGCCCGGGGACCCTATCTCAAAAAGCCCATCACAAAAAAGGGCTGGTTGAGTGGCTCAAGATGTACGCCATTAACTTCAAGCTACAGTACCGCAAGGGGAAAAAAAAGAAAGTGTACCCAATGCATGTTTCATGAATGTGTTCCTTATCATTGTCATGTCTGCCTACCTCCTAGTCTCCCCGTGTCTAGCAGTATTGTTCAGGAAAGTATTTTCTAAAAATATGCTTAAGTCTAAAATGAGACCTAAATCAGCCAAGCAGAAGAGAAGGAGCACAGGCAAAAGACAGGACATTCAAGGAACAAGTTGGGAAGACAAGAGTTGATTGCCCAAAAACATGGCTAGGGATGGGGCTCAAGTGGTAGAGTGCTGGCCTAGCCAAGTACAAGGCCCTGAGTTCAAACCTCAGTACTAACAACACACAAAAATAAATTGATGTCAAGGACAGGGAGTATGGCTCAAGTGGCAATGCGCCTGTCTAGCAAACATGAGGTCCTCAGTTCATCCCCAACACTGCAAAATAAAAATAAAGAACAGATATCAAACATATGACTAGAAACCCCCAAAGCAGGAGGAAGGAGAGTTCGTGGGGTAAGAAATAGAATGGATTATATGATATTAAAGCCCTCTGTGCTATCAGTGCTTCACCATGCAAGCAACAGTGAAATCATTTACATTGCCTAAAGAATAGTGATGCTGGCAGGGTGCTGGTGGCTCACGCCTGTAATCCTAGCTACTAAGGAGGCAGGGTTCAGGAGGACTATGGTTCAAAGCCAGCCCAAGCAAATAGTTCTCGAGACCCTATCTCAAAAATACCCTTTACAAAAAGGCCTGGTGGAGTGTAGGCCCTGAGTTCAAGCCCCAACACCACAAAAAAATTTTCAAAAAATAAACAACAACAAAAAAGTGATGCTTTAGCAACCTTTCAAGGTACTATTAAGAGATATAGGGGTGAAGGGAGTATCTGTATGCCAAAAGTTTCTCTTTATACATAAAATCCAGAAGATTAACACAGACTTTAGATATAAATTGGAGGGAACACTATAAAGTAACTTTTTAGTATTATTCCTGAGTTAAATTGTTTTTTCTGAGACAGGTTCTCTTTATAGAGCCCAAGTGGACTATAATTCTCTCACCTCACCACTACACTCTGATAATGTTATCAGTTTATATAAATGACCCTATGTGGTAATTTTTAAGGGGAAAAAGTTTGTTGTAAGTTTTTTGTTGTTTTTTTTTTTTATTAGTGGTAGTGGTACTAGGGTTTCAATTCAGGGCCTCACATTCTCCAGGCAGCCACTCTACCACTTAAGCAACTCCTCGTGTCCTATTTTGTGTTGAGTATTTTCTAGATAGGGTCTCCTGGGCTATTTGCAAGGACTGGCTTCAAGTTGCAATCTTCCTGATCTCTGCTTCCCAAGTAGCTAAGATTACAGGTGTGAGCCACCATCTCCCAGCTGTTGTAATTTTTTTAATCTTCTTTTTGAAGACCTTTAGGAAGTCAGTAAAATAATGATCCTTACAAATAATTCAAACTGCTCAAAAAAGAAAGTGAAAAAATTAAAATTGGGTCCAATTGACAATGGTGATATATCCAGACTTAACAATGCTGGAAATTTCCAGCACCAGCAAGTTTTTTTACATAATCCTTAGGTCTGAAAAATAACACTGATTTTATTAAAAGATTATTTTTTTAAAAAACTGCAAGTAACCTAATTTAATAAAAGATATGAGTAAAGCAAATAAAATTTTGGAAAACAGACCTTTCAAATATCAATAAAAAATAGAAAAAAGCCAGGTGCTTGGGAGGCTTAGATCAGGAGGACGGAGGTAACCAGAGCAAGTTGTTCTGTTCTTCAGGTTTCTTTTCTCAACATCACGGTTCTCATCTTATTTGAGGGAAAAACCTTGCACAGAATATAATGGGAAAAGAATCTCTACACCCTTCTGTTCTGAATTTGTTTTTATTCTTTCCTGTCTCAACAAAAAACCATATAGTCAACACAACCACTATGCTCTGTGGAAAAAAAACAAAACCTTCTTCCCTTCACTCTGCTGGAAGCTGGAGAGTACTAGGCCCCTGTATAGCACTATTTTATAGTACATAAAATTCTAGCTTTTTCTTTCTCTGTATATTGGGCAGCGCTTCTGGAGAAATTGGACCAATAAATTCAGAGCCAGGTATAGTGACTTACAGCTATAATCCCAGCTACTCAAGAGGCAGAAATGAGGAGCACTGAAGTATGAGTCCAGCCAGGGCAAAAAATTAAGACCCCCAGCTCTTAATTACCAAGCTGCGTGTGGTAGCTGGGGATGGAGGGCAGTTAGTAGGTAGAAAGATCATGGTCCAAGGCCAGTCCCAAGGAAGAGGAAAAACGCTATCCAAAAAAATAACTAAAGAAAAAGAAAAGGACTGTGGGTCTAGTGTCAGTGGAGAGCACTTGCCTAGCAAGCAAAAGGCCCTGAATTCAAACCCTACTACTGCCTCCACCCCACGCCCCCAAAACAAATCAGCAAACCCCACATCATCCCTAACAAGGTGACTGGCTGGTATGTTTCATCCCCAGAGGCTCTGACATCATCTAAGCCCTTGTGCGCAAGAAGGTTTAAGTGCAGCAGGGACCAACAACTGCTACAACACCTGGTATCAGAGTACAGGTGGTCTGCAACACCACAAAACAATAATAATATTAAACAAACAAACAGAATTAAGGTACTGGAGTCACAGAATTGAACAGGACAAATTCACTGTCTTCATGGAGCTTAAATTCTACTTGCAAAGAAAAGACATGCAAATTAACAGTAGGTGCTACGAAGGAAAATAACTAGTAAGTAAATCATCAGTGATGGTACAAAGGAGATGGTTATTTTGACATGGAATGGTTAGCTTCTGTAAGAAGATAAACATTTTAGAAAAGTGAAAAAAAATGGAAAAGCAAAGCTTATAACAATATGGAGAAAATTCTCTAAGCAAAGAGAATAACAGCAAGTCTCTGACAGCAGAACAAGATGCCTGTGCTGTGAAACAAAAGATGTAGCATGAATTTCAGTTTTAATATGAATGGTTTCATAGTCAAAACCAAACCAAAATCCAAGTGTGGTGGCTCCAGCATCCCTACAACCCCAACACTTGGGAGGCAGAGCCAGTGGGATAAGAGTTCAAGGACAGCCTGGACACCACATAATAACAAGACTTTATCTGAAGGGAAAAAAAAAAACACATAAAAAATGTTTTTTATGAATCTTCAAACTAAACTTTGAGGGGCAAGGTAATATTTTAAACCCAATCTTACAGTTGGGCACCATGATTCAGGCCTGTAATCCTAGCTACTTGGGAGGCTGAGATCAGGCGATCAAAGTTTAAGGCCAGTCTAGGCAAATAGTTTGCAAGAACCCATCTCCAATATAACCAGAGCAAAATGGGCTGGCAGCATGGCTCAACAGGTAGAGTGCCTGCTTTGCAATCTCAAAGCCCTGAGTTCAAACTCCAGTCCACTAAAAAAAAAAAAATCAAAAGAAAATACTGTATACACAATGATGTGGATGAGAGCTCATAAACATTATGCTAAATAAGAACCACACACAAACTACATGATTTCATTTAATAATAGTTTAGACAAATTATCTACAGTAGCAGAAAGATCAATACCTGTCTAAGGAATGGGGAATAAATGCAAAAAGAGCACAATATAACTTCTGTGGGCAGTGGAAATTTTCTGTATCTTGCTTACAGTGATGGGTTACACTGAGTACAAATGCATTTTAAAACTTCTTGAGCTCTCCATTTATAACAGGGTGCTTTTAATGTACATAAATTATACCTCAATAAAGCTAAGATTTCTTAAAGGATTACTTTATAGAATTCCTAACTTTCTAGGAGTGATACATAAAAACTCCTTACTTTTATCCATTGAGTATTCACTCAACACCTACTTACCATACATCAAAACAGTATCAACTACAAGGAATTTCATAACAGAGAGGAGCTCATATTTAATGGGACAAAAGGACACAATATTTAAAACTTACGTTGTTAGCAAAAACGCCCCATCACCACATCTTTCCAGTGCCTTTCGTGCAGGAGGTTTTGCCGCAAATTCTACAAAACCTTTTCCCGTAGCTCTACCACGATCATCCACAACCACAACAGCTTTTTCTACTGGACCAAACTGGGAAAATGCTTGCTCTAGAAGTTCATTGGAAACAACTGGAGAAAGGTTCTTGACAGTTAAGGCTGCTCCATGCGTAGCAAAACGAATTCGGAGAGGTCGGCTCTTCAAAATGGTGCCATCCAGCTCTGCTTTTGCAATTTCAGCCAGTGTTCTGGATTCCTTTTTAGAAGGGAAAATCATTTTTTTAAAGACAATAGCAACAAAAAATTTAAAATAGCAGTTTGCTTCTAGGGAGGAGACCTGGGTAGCTTTAAGAAATGAATGACATTTCTGGGCTGGCATCAAACTGCGATCTACCTGATCTCTGCCTTCTGAGTAGCCAGGATTATAGGCGTGAGTCACCGGCACCCAGCCTGATTTGTTTTTGTTTTTTTGGTTTTTTTTTACCCTAACTCAACATTAGTAGTAGTGGCAAACATTTAATGAATATCTAAAGAGATTCAGGTCCAGGTCCTTTGTTACCTAAATTGTAATCCAACACTGACAGGCAAATTTTAGGAATGGAGTCTTGAATTAAAATGCTGTCAAAATAGAATTGGGAATAGGAAGGGACATAAAGAAATTTCTTGGACTATTAATAATGTTTTATATTTCTGCAGAGGTTTAGGTTAAACAGATATATGTACCTGTCAAAACTCACCAACCAGTATAGTTAAAATCTGTACCTTTTGGGACTAAGGATATAGATTAGTGGCACAGTGCTTGCCTACTAGCATGCACAAGGCCCTGAGTTCAATCTCTACCATGGCCCCAAAAAAGTGCCTTTTACTGTGGCTAGGTATACATGTATGTGTGTATGTGTATATGAGAAATACCATACACACACATACATACATGTGAGAAATACTCTAGAAAAGTAATACTGAACTTTAGCTAATGACAATCATGCTGGAATGTTAAGGGTCATGAACTGAAGGATGGAGATGAATAGAAAGGTGGAAAACTATAGAAAATTTAAGTGGGCAGGTTGGGACAAAACTAGAATCCCAGTATCAGGGCAACTGATGCTGCTGGAGGAATGGCTCAAGTGGTAGAGTACCTGCCTAGCAAGCAGGACGTCCTGAGTTCAAACTCTATTACCACCTTCCCCCAAAAAGAAATTAATAATGAAATGTTTGGGAGGAGGGAAATGAACGGAGCTCAAAGGGCAGCTCCTATTCAAATTCAGTCAGATAGATCCATGATGCCATGTATTTTGTTTTGTTTTTTTTTCAGCGAAATCAAGAAACATCAATTCTTTTCTTTTTTCTTTTTTTTTTACTTGACAGCAGCTCTTTTAATTTGAACACTTTCCTAAGGATGCACGCCTTCGGTACAGTTAACAAATGGTTACACCTACAGTATTGCAAGGGCCACTGCGGGCTCACTTCCTCACAGGCACTATTACCTTTCAGAGCTGAGTTTCGCTGTGCTCTATGTCTACTGTGAGTTTGAGGTGCAAGTTTTAGCACCTTGAAGGGGGAAAGAAAACAGCTTGGTATGCAGTATGTGGGTTTATTCTCAGCTTTAGATCTTTTTATACCTGCCAGTATGAGTTCTGAAAGGTAATACCATGCCTGCCTGGAAATGGCTGAGTGACTGCCAATTAAAAGCCACATGGCATGTTACAGAGGTGAAGCAGGTTAGACATGCGCGAGAACAAGTGTATACAGACTGAACAGAAGCACAGGAACACTGGAAGCCCAACTATCTTTTGGATGAACTTTGGTGTTCGCGGCAGAGATAAATCCCACTTTCTAAACCCCGAAGAAACGTCAATTCTTCATGAAGTAGTTTTTTAATTTTGGCAACCAATTCCATTTTTAATGTTCAGGACAACTAAAATGCTTATACACTCAGGAATTTTCAGTACTATAAATCTTTTTTCAAAATTCATACTTTCCAGGGAAAGCGGTGCTATGTAGTGGTAGAGCAAATGACTAGCATGCATGAGGCCCTGGATTCAACACCAGGAAAAACAAAGCCTACTTTCCATGTTTTAAATGGTTCTAAAACAGGGTTTTCTCAGCCTCAGCACGAGTGATACTATACATAATTTTTTTTTTTCTAATGAGACAGTCTGGCTATGTAGCCCAGGCTGGCCTTCAACTCATGATTCTCCTGCCTCCACCACCTAACTGCTTGAATTATAGGCACACATCACCACCATGCCTGAGTACCAGATAATTCTTCGACTACCAGGTAATTCTTGCTGTGGAGAGTTGTGCACTGTAAACTAGAGGCTGTTTAGCAGCATCCCTGGCTTCTATCTACCAGATGTCAGCAGAACCAGCCCCCCATGTGTGACAACCAAAAATGTCCCCAGATACAACCTAATACCTAAAAATATATCTAGACATTGCCAAATGTCATCTGGGAAGCAAAACTGTCTTTCTTGAGAAACACTGCTCTAAATGTATAATAAAATATCTATAAAACCTACTAAAACTAAAATCAATTAAAATTACGTGCTTGAAATGAGAACAGATTTCTTTACTTCATAACTCAGAAAAATAGGATATAGCTCTAATTAAGTAGTTACTATAGGTCAGCCCTAATCTGTTATAAAATATAGATATATTGGGGACATACCCTTGGGTTTGATCCCCAGCATTACAAAAATAAACTTATCATTAGCCTCACCAACAAGCTTATAAGGTGTTTATAAGGTATATTTTTTTTTAACTGTACCCACTCTATGTGGGGAAATGGGCTTAAGAGAGGTTGTATAACTTGCCCAAGATCATACTTCAAGTGCTGAGCATTTGAACATGTACAGAATTCAGTACCTACCAGTATATCATAATTCTTCCTTCTATCTAATGTCTGCATCACTCTGTAAAGAGTAAAACTACAGATTAACACAAGGAATACAAGAAATCCTAAGAGTACTCCAGTGATTTCTACTTCAGGAGTCTTTTCAAACCATATGAACTATTCTCTCACTATTTGTAGATGCTTAAAACTTGCCACTGCAAGAGTACTAATAATTCAACTTTTACAATTTTTTTTTGGTGGTACTGGGGTTTGACCTCAGGTCTTACACTTGCTAGACAGTTTTCCAGCAAGTTGGTAATTTAAAAAGCTGGGCAGGGGATTGGAGCTGTGGCTGAAGTGGTAGAGTGACTGCTTTGAAAGAGTAAAGCCCTGAGTGCAATCCCTGATCCAACACCCCTGCCCACCCCCGCAAAAAAAAAAGTCAGGTGTGGTGCTGCCTGCCTGTAATTGCATCACTTAGAAGGTAAGAGGCAAGAAGATCTTGAGTGAATTCAAGACCAGCCTGGGCCACATAGTCGGAGTCCATGCTAAGCTACATAGTGAGACCCTATGGGAGGAGTGAGAGGGAGGAGGAGAGAAGGGGAGGGAAGAGAAGGGGAGGGGAGGGAAGGGATGAGGAGAGACAGATAGAGAGAGGGAGGAGGAGAGAGAGAGAGAGAGAGAGAAGCAGGGAGGGAGGGGAGAAAGGAAGACAGGGATAGAGGGAGAGAGGAAAAGATAAATCCACTTCTTGCTTCTCTGTCTTTTGGCTAAGATCAAATGTAGAAATCCACTGGAGTAAAATAGAAATAGTCTTCAAGTCAATCGAAAGAAAGCTGAATTAAGTAATTTACAATACACCCACAGTGTTAAATACAATTAATAAGAATCTACCAACATAGAAAGAAGTCAGATATATACTAAATTTAAAAAAAATCAAGTCAGGGCTGGTGACTCAACTGGAATAATGTTCAAACCCCAATACCACCCTCCTCCCCAAAAAATAAATAAATGAAGCCAGGTGTGGTGATACATGCCTATAATTCCAGCACTTGGAAGGCCTGAAGCAGGAAGACTGGGAGTTGAAGGTCAGTCTGGGCTACGTTAGGAGACCCTGTCTCAAAATTAATTAATTAAAACAAAAGGAAATTTGGGATCTAAAATTCCACAATAAAACACGTCCATAAAATACGTAGTTCAACTTATCCCTAATACACCACAGGCTCACAATATGGATTAAGTCTTTTATGTTAACAGCCACTTAAATTCTTTTTCCCACCAGAGATACCAGTAATGCTGACCCTATGCTATATCAAAAATGCTGCCATCTCATCAATAAACAAGAACACTACAATTACTAGTTTAAGAAATTTATTTGCATTTTAAAGATTAATGAATAAAAAAATATTTCTAGAGCTGGGCAAGGTAGCAGACTGTAATCCATCCTGGCTATACAGTGAGGCCCTATCTCAACAAAAGAAAATAAACAAAAACTGGGGGCCAGAGGTCTGGAATCCTACTTAGTTGGGAGGGTAATATCAGGACAATCAAGGTTCAAGGCCAGCCCAAGCAAATAGTTCCTGGGACCCACCCCTCCCAACCATCTCCAAAATAACCAGAGCAAAAATGGACTGGAGGTGTGGTTTGCATGGTAGAGTGCCTGCTTTGTAAGCGCAAAGCCCTGAGTTCAAATCCCCAGTTCCACCAAAAAAAAAAATGTATATATGGTTTTAAAATTGCTATGGTCTGAATATAGCTCCCCTCTTATGTTGAAGCCCCAATCCCCAATGTGATGGCGTATCTTTGGGAGGCAGTTGGATCATAAGGTGGGACCTTTATAAAGTGGATTAGTGCCCTTATAAGAAGAGACAAGAGGGGAAGATTTCTCTTTCTGACCACTATTGTATAGCAACTACACTGCTACTCACTATAGCCACTATACAGATATTTATATTCAGCTCCAGGATGCAATTATTTTTTTTTACAGTACTGGAATTTGAACTCAGGGCCTCACACTTGCTTTATATGATTTTTAAGTAGAAAAAATATGAATAGATGAGTCATTTAAAGCTTGTAATTAGGGGGCTGGTGGAAGGGGGAAGAAATAACCCAAACATTGTATGCACATATGAATAAAAGAAAAAAAAAAAAAGCTTGCAATTAAGCCAGGCACCCTCACACCTGTAATACCTGCTACTCAGGAGGCAGAGATCAGGAGGACTGCAGTTCGAAGCCAGCCCAGGCAAATAGAGACCCTATCTTAAAAATATACATCACGAAAAAGGGCTGGTAGAGTGGCTCATGGTGTAGGCCCTGAGTTCAAACCCCAATACTGTGCAAAAAAAAAAAAACAAAGTTTGTAATTACCTGTTACTCATAGAGTTCAGATTAAACTGTAATGCCGCCCATAAAATCATACTCTGTAAACTAAATCTTAATTTCCAAATCTTTCTATTCCTACACAAAAAAATCTAGGGTGCTGGGTTTGGAGAAACATATTCCAAAGAAACAGACAACAGCAGCCCTTCTCACCTGCCATTTCATAATCCCAGAGACTGTTGTTTAAAGGGAGGAAAAGCAATGAATAAACTGCACTGTCTAATACAACAGCCACTAGTGCCTACATAAACTTTAATTAATAGGACTAGGACCACTCATGTGGTAGAGCACCTGCCTAGCAAGGGTAAGGCCCTGAAATCAAACCCCAATACTGCCAAAAAGCTAAAGTAAGTAAAACTTAAAAATCTACTCGCCAGGCCCAATAGCCACAGTGCCCAAGTCACATATGGCTACTGCATATTATACTGGACAGCCACCAGCACAGGTACATAGCATTTCCACCACTGTAGAAACTTTATTGGACACTGCTGATACATTAAGGGAAGAAGCTAACTTAATAGCTTAAAAGATAAGAAAGACAAAAGACCTTTTTCTCCTATCAATAAAATGTTTATTGGGGGCTGGAAGAGTGACTAAAGTGGGAGAGTACCTGCATAGCAAACATGAGGCCTTGAGTTCAAACCCCACTACAGCCCAAAAAAAAAAGAGAGAGTGGGGGCCAGGGGCAGGAGGGAGAAATGACCCAAACAATGTATGCACATGTGAATAAATGAATAATAATTTTTTTAAAAAGTCTATTGGTTTATTTTTAATTGTAAGGCTCTCAAAATATATAGGGGAGCCAGACACTTGTGGCTCCCCAAACTACTGTAATTAGGATTACTCCCTGTAATCCTAGCTACTTGGGAGGCTGAGACTGGGAAAATCACGGTTCAGGGCCAGCTGGTGGGGCATATAGTTTGAGAGACCCTCCCCCTCCCAATCTCCAAAATAACCAGAGCAAAACAGACTGGAGGTGTGGCTCAAGCGGTAGAGCACCTGCTTTGCAAGCACTAAACCCTGAGTTCAAACCCCAGTCCCGCCAAAAATAAATAAAAATCACAGAGGGAAATGTTGCCCCTCCATTCTTTCTCTTCCAGAATATCACCGTCAGAGTAGGGTCATGAAAATATTACACAAACTGCCCCGCATCCGTGGCTCACGCATGTAATCCTAGCCAAGCAGGAGGCAGAGATAAGTTCCCCAAGACCCTATCTCAAAAAACCTTTCACAAAAATAGGGTTGGTAGAGTGGCTCAAGGTGAAGGCCCGGAGTTCAAGTCCCAGTACCAAAAAAAAAAAAAAAAAAAAAATTACACAAACTTCTCTGGAAACGTTACCAGAAGTAATGCTTTATAATATATACAATAAATAATGTAATCTATAACGTACTACATAATATATAACATTTGTATATGTAGTATATAATATATACAATATAATACTTCATACTTAATTTTGGAAATGTAACTTCCCCCCGATCCCCAGTACTAAGTATGGAACTCAGGGCATCCAGCATGCTAGGCAAGTGCTCTACCACTCAGCTACACTCCCAGCACAACTTTTACGTTTATATTAAAGTATTTCCAAATGACAGACTGTTTCTCTACTGTCCAAAAGATAATATATTTATAATTCCATGTTCAAACTATAATTAACTTGAATTCTAAATTCCATGTCATTAATATCTTATGAGAATTTACTGTCTCTTGAAACCACATATTCAAGCATTTGCCCTAAAAAGTAAAGTATTATCTAATTACCATCAATTTATTAAGTCCACACATGGAGAGAACCCACTTTTAAAAGTCAGAAGTTCCAATTAAGAAAGCTTTTTAAGCTGGGCGCCAGTGGCTCACGCCTATGATCCCTAGATACTCAGGATGCAACTATCAGGAGGATCGCGGTACGAAGCCAGCCCGGCAAAAAGTTCGCGAGACCCTATCTCGAAAAATCTATCACAAAAAAGGGTGGTGGAGTGACTCAAGGTGTAGGCCCTGAGTTCAAGCCCCAGTACCAAAAGGCTTTTTTAGCCAGGCGTGGTGGCACTTGCTCATAATCCCAGCTATTCAGGAGGGACGGTGGAATCAGGTAGATCCAGCCTTGCTGTGGGGCAGCCTGAGATCCCAGCTACACGGGAGTATGCAGGCCAGAGGCCTGCCCTGGAAAAAGGCGCCAGACACTGTGTCCCAAACACCTAAGGCAAAAAAGGACTGGGGCGGGGCCTTAGTGAAGATCCGGCTTCAAACCCCAGAACTGGGAAGAGAGTAGTGGGGGCTAAGTAGAAAGATACCAGAAAAAAAAAAAAAAAAGAACACCACTTCTACGCGCAACTCTGCTCCTCTCTGATAAGGATTTCGTTGGAAGGGTTGGGGGCGGGCCCAGGAGGTACAGCGCAGGCCTCAAGCAAGAGGCCCTGGGTGCATTCCTAGTTCAGCAAAGAAAAAAAAAAAAAAAAAGATTTTGTTGGAGGTAAACCTATCTAAATATGAATTAAAATTGTGCTGCATCACTGACAGTGTTCACCACGCAGGAAGCTCACAAGAAACCTAATCAAAGCAGACTCGATTTTTTTTATGGTACTGGGGTTTGAACTCATGCTTGCTAGGCAGGCGCTCTATCACTTCAGCTACTCCACAGGCCTTTCAAAAGACATTCACCAGCCAGCAGGTAAGAGTAAGACCAAAATAAGAGTTCCGGGATTTGTTAGAAACTTAGCCAAGCATAAAAATCACCATATTATTACCTTACCGCTGAGATATTTTTATTATCGTTATTCAATCATCTGATTTACTACTACAGCCCAGGCTGGCCTCTAACTCCTGATCCTCCTGCCTCTAACACTTGTGCCACATCTCCAATCCATTTTGCTCCGGTTATTTTGGAGATGGGGGTCCCGGGAAGTATTTGTCCGGGCTGGCCTCGAACCGTGATCCTCCGGATCTCAGTCTCCCGATTACCTACAATTACAGGCGTGAGCCACCGTGCCCGGTAAGATGCGATTTCTGCGTCAAGTCCTCGGAGAACTTTACAAAAGGCGCAGTTAAAAAGGGCTCAAGATGCTCCGCACCGCGAAGCGTGACCCGTCAGCTGCGCCCGCGGACGAGCGCGGCTGGGGACCCGGCCCCGCGCGACGGCCGGGGACTGCGGCCCGCTGCCCCCGACGCAGGCCCGTTGGCCCGGTCCTCGCCCCGTCCCGTGGCCCTGGCTCCCCCGCACACTCACCAGGCGGATGAAGCCGAAGCCGCGGTCGCGGTTGATGAAGACCTCGCTGGGCTCGCCGTAGCGCTCGAAGAGGCGCTTGAAGTCCTCCTCCGTGATGTCGGTGGGCAGGTTCCCCACGAAGAGGCGACAGCGCTGCGTGTACGTCTTCTCGCCCGGCTTCAGGAAGCTCTTGATGTCGATGGTGAACCCCAGCTCCTCGTCCGCGTGGTCCTCCGGGGCCACGGGGGCCGGCGGCGCCTGCTCACCGGCCAGCGTCAGCGCCATGGCCGCCGCGGCCCCCGGCTCGCCTTCTCCGGCCGCGGACTCGAGGGCGCGAAGGCGGGCCGGGTTCTTTTCAATGCGCACTTGCTTCAGGTTTCCCCGGAGCATCATCTTGGAGCGTTCGCCTCGGACACCGGCTGCAGGACTAGGCGCACCCCGAGATACGTTTCCACACGTATCTATGGAAACGCAGCCGGACAGGCAGGACACAGCCAGCTAGCCAAGCCCGCTGCCCAGCCTCCCCGACTCACGCCCGCGGTAGCCGCAGGTTCAAAATGGCGCTGCCTCAACCTGCAGTTGGAAGAAGAGACGCCGGCGCTTTCCCGCACCCCCTCCCCACGCGCGTGCGCACACCCAGCGACCGTTGCCTAGCACCGCGCATGCGCGCAGCATTGGTCGCCTTCCTGCCCAAACTCCCTAAGCCAGGAAATGTCTCTTCCCCTTCCTGCAAGACCTCGGAGGCCATTGGCTCTGTGAATGGGACGGATTGCGTGATGGGCACAGTAGTGTGCGCAAATACAATTATTTGGGTAATATATTTAACCTTTTGAAGATGAAGTTCAATTTTATTTTCAATGACTACAAGAAAATGAAAACGCGCATATTTTGACAGCTCGGGAGGCTGAGACAGGAGGATGGCGAGTTCAAGAGCAATCTGGCCTACAAAGCCACCCCTCTCAAGAGGAAAAAGAAATGTTCAAATCTTTCTTATTTTGTACGAAGTATTCAATAAGATGGTTCCCATTAATTTAAAACACTTTAATTTCTGTTTGTTTCACGAGCAAAGTTTATTGTTTTCGTTGTTTTGAGGGAGTCTGGTTAATTAGCCCAGGCTGGCCTCGAACCCGAGCTCCTTCTGCCTCCATGAGCTGGTATTACAGGTTGTGCACTACTACCACATCCAGCTGTAAGACTTTTATGTTTTCTAATTAAGCAATCCAATTTTATAAAACAATTGAGCTGTTGATTATTGACCTCAGAGAAGATCTCCATGAAATTGCTTATAAAAATTAGTACAGTCAGAGCTGGGCATCAGTAATCCTAGCTACTCAGAAGACAGAGATCTGGAGGATCTCAGTTTGAAGCCAGCCCAGGCAAATAGTTCAAGAGACACTATCTGGAAAATACCCAACACAAGGCTGGCAGAGTGGCTCAAGTAGTAGAGCTCCTGCTTAGCAAGTGTGTGGCCCTGAGTTAAACCCCAGTATCACCAAGGGAAAAAAGAAAATACCCAATACAAAAAAAAAAAAAAAAAAAGGATTGGGCCAGGCGCCAGTGGCTCATGCCTATAATCTTACCTACTCAAGAGGCAGAGATCAGGAGGATCTCAGTTCAAAGCCAAACCCAGAAAAACAGTTCGAGAGACCCTATCTTGAAAAAACCCACTCAAAAAAAAGGGCTGGTGGAGTGGCTCAAGGTTTAGGCTCTGAGTTCAAAGTCCAGTACCGCCAAAAAAAACAAAAAAAAAAAGTAAAAAAGGGCTGATAGAGTGGTTCAAGTGTTAGAGTGCCTGAGCATGAAGCCAAAAAAGAAAAAACTTAAAACTGTGCAATAAAAGGTGATTATTAATGGAGGATAAAGGAGAGTGATGAAGAGGGTGAGTTCAGCTATGACATATTGTAAGAACTTTTGTAAATGTCATAATGTACCCCCGGCAGAACAGTTTAAAAAAAGGTGATTATTACCATATTTTTTTTTCCACTAAATGTTAGAGTTCTCTGTCAGACTTGAAAACACTTTTTAACAAGTCATTGGCAACCACTAAATTTTTCTTGGTGACCTTGATATCCCTCCGTATATTTAAATTAAGCAAAGCATTTTAAATTACCCAAAAAACAAAACATGATCAAAACTAATCACTGTTTACCTCAGTCATCAACCCAGATTTTAACACCCAAAAGGCTCTGGACCTTCCTGAAGCTCAACAAATCCCCCCATCCCTCCCAGATACTCCAAAACATTCCTTTGAGCTCTTGGAAACTCACTGCCATTAGCAAAATCCAATAGCCTCCCTCTAATACAACAATAAAAAAATGTTTAATATAATAGCCTTACCTTCCTGCTTTAACTGGAACATGGTTTCCTCATGGACATCGCTGTCACAGTTCATGGATGTGGAATACATGACACTTCTCTTTGATTCGTGCAACATCCAGACCACTTCCATCTCCTTTTGTCAAAAATTCCAACTCAAAAAGCTTATTCTAATGTAAACTTCCTCCCTCTCCTCCACCCTCTCTCTCTTACCCCACTTCATGCATCCGTCTGTACCCCCCCTTCCTGCTCTTCTGTAATATCATGTTAACTTTCTTTAAACTACCACAAATATGGCTAATTTCCCTCTCCAACTTTCCTCAACATTAGTGAAGCATTGGTGGTGTAGTGGTTAGCGTAGCTGCCTTCCTACTTTCCTCAACATGCTATTTCCTCCCTCCTAAGACTAACGGTCCTCACTTACAGCCGGTAACATCTTTTATTTAGTTCACTACAGAAAAGTCACCATCAGAATAAAATTGCCTCCTCCTAGCCACACATCTATTAGCCTGGTCCCATTTGTAACCACCTACACTGCCTGTCCTTCCCATCACAATGAATAAACTGCCAATGCTCCCCCTCTAAAGCCAGCTCTCTCATTCATCTACTGGATACCATCCTCTTACCATGTACTTTGCTTCAGCAGTTATCTAATCTTCTTCAAAAAAGATCACTTTCTTGATCTGTACTGGGGTATTCTATACTTGAATGTCAAATAAACACTTCACAGACCTGGACAGTTAATTATCTCTCCCAAAACTTGCCAGATCCTAGTCCTTTCCATTCATTAAGGACATTCACATTCTCAGGCCAACAGTCTACACATCATACTTGACTTTTTCTCTTACCACACACTCAATATCCAATCAGCAAATCCAAATAGATCCTGAACACACACATTCTAAGCCAACCTACAGTCACCTAACAATTATTAATTACTATCTAATAATTACTGAGATACTTTCCTAATTATTTTCCTGCTTCTACTCTTGCCTTACAAGTCCACTCAAAATTCTAACCTCATTACGTCAGAGTGTGACTGTACTTAGAAGTAGGGTTCTGAAGAGGTAATTTAAGACTAAATGAGATCAAACAGAAGAGCCTTAATTGGCATGACTGATGTCATAAGAAGAGAAGATTAGGGCTGGGATGGGCCTCAAGTAGTAGAGCACTTATCCCAGGCTCAAGGATGTGGGTTCAATTCCCAGTACTGAAGAGAGAGAAATAAAGAAAGACCAGGACATGCACACACACACACAGAAAAGACCATGCAAAGACAAAGGAAGAAGACAGCCATCTACAAGCCAAGGAGATAGGCATTAGAAGAAAAACAACTCTGTTGACACCTTGATGTTGGACTGCAAGCTTCCAGTGCTGTGAGGAAATAAATTTCTGTTGTTGACCATACTTACACTGTGTAAACTACTGAATATTAGGGGAGCGTAGTGATAGAGAATGAGCAAGTATGGAGGAGGTTAATTTGATTAAAGCATCATATATACAGTTATGAATGCCAAGACAAAACCCCCTTGGATTATCCATATACACTTTAAACAAAATGAAAGACAGGAGAGTGAAACAAGTCTTTTCCAGGGGTGGGCACCAGTAGGAGGTGGGTAGGGATAAGGAAAGGATGAATGAGGGAGAATGTGGTGGATGTACTTTGTATTCATACATGAAAATAGAAGAATGAAATCTGTTGAAATTGTTCTAAGTGAGGTGGGGGAAAGACCAAGAACGATGGAAGGGGTTGGAAGGAATAACTCTAATATATATTGTGAGCACATATGTAAATATCACAATGCAGCCCCCTGTACAAGTATTATAGGCTAATTTAGAAAAAGACATTTAGTCTGGGGTATTGTTTTCTCTTTTAGTTTTTTGGGAGAGTTTTTTGGTGGGACTAGAGTTTGAACTCGGCTTCAAACAAAGCAGGCACTCTATTGTTTGAGCCATACCTCCAGTCCTTTTTGTTCTGGGTATTTTGGAGATGAGGGCTTATAAACCCGACTGGCCTCAAATCACAATCCTCCTTATCTCAGCCTTCCAAAGTAGCTAGAATTACAGGTGTGAGCCACCAGTGCCCAGCTTAGGGTATTGTTTAAAGGAAGCGTAACAGATTAATACCGGAAGAGAAGCATTCAGGCAGAAGACTGTTTTGCCTTTTAGAAAAATAACTCTAGTAGTAGAGTAGAAGACAAACTGCCATAGAAAATCACAGACACAGGGAGAAGCAACAGGTACAGGGAATTACATCAAAAAAGGAAAGAAAGGGGCCTGGAGGTATGACTCAAGTGGTAGAGCAAGCATAAGGGCCTGAGTTCAAACCCTAGTGCTGAAAAACAAAAAAAGAAAGAAAAAGGAAAGAAGGAAGGAAGGAAGGCTAATAAAGATATGACTAAGCCTGGACCAAAGCAATAGTAGGGCTGTAGAAGAAAGGCTAGCTCAAAACAAAAACAAACAAACAAACAAAAAACTGTAGATGAGTGTGGCACATGCTTATAATTCCAGCAGAGGCGAGAGAATCCAAGATTATGAAAATCCTTGACCCAGAGTAGGCACTTAATAAACATTTGTTTGTGGCAGTACTGGAGTTTGAACTCAGGGTCTTGGGCTTGCTAGGAAGGTGCTCAACCACTTGATCCATGCCCCCAACTTTTTTGGCTTTAGTTATTTTTCACAAAGGGTCTCACGCTTATGTCTGGGTTTTGATTCTGCTACTTATGCTTGTCATGTAGCTGAGATGACAGGTATGAGCTACCATACCGAGTTTCTATTGGATGTGATGGGGATGTCTGAAGAAATTTTTGCCTGTGCTGTCCTCCAATGGAGATCCTCCTGACCTCCACCTCCTGAGTAGCTAGGATCACAGGCATAAGCCACTGCACACAGCTAACACGTTTGTTGTGCTGGAGATCAAACCCATGGCCTTGCATATGCTAGTCAAGTGCTCTGCAACTGAGCTGCACACCCATCCTGACATTTGTTTTTAAAAAGTTTTTTTAATAATACAAGCAACAAAAATAATAAAATACATAAAAATAAACTTAACTAAGGAAACAAAAGACTTGGACACTGAAAACTACGAAACATTGCAGAAAGTGAAATTAAAGAATAATAAATAAATGGAAAGACATCTCATGTTTCTTTTTGCAGTACTGGGGCTTGAACTCAGGGCCTTCATTTGAGCCATTCTGCCAGCCCTTTTTCTGATTGGTATTTTTGAGATAGAGTCTTGCAAACTATTTCCTTGGGCTGGCTTTGACCTGTGATCCTCCTGAT